GGGGTGAGGCGGGGACCAAGAAGTTGAGTGAACGAATGTGGTAGCAACTGATAAGAACTGATAAGGGGCGTCAAAGTGTGGATACCACCAGTTTCGTTGCGGCCCTTGCGGTGACATTGGAACCTTGGCTCTCACATGTGGTATAGGGGATGGGACGGGAACACGGATAGTGGATGATCAAAAGTGATAACAAGCGATAACGGTTGATAAGGAAGTTAGGATTTTGAGTACTGCTAAATTTCGTTGCAGCCTTCGTGGTGACAGTAAATATTAGCTCCTACACGTTGCCTGGAGGTTGGGACCGGGACACCGATTGCGAACAGTATGAACTGATAACAAATGACAAGGAATGATAAGAGCGTTGAATGCAGGTCTCTCCAACTTCGTTGCAATTATCACTGGCAAGCGATCAAGGTGGCGAGGGTTGAATGTAGGTGACAGAAAGTGGTATGAGCGGCAACTGTACTGATAAAAGTAGCGACAATTGAGCGTGCACTCAGTTGAACTAAACCAGGTATGTTCCATTCCTACCCTTTCATCTAAAGAAGCAAAGAAAGTTGAGCTGCTCAACTATCTGGACTTGGACTAATAGCGAATAAAATCATATTTCCAATTTCCATCATGGTTGATGCTGATTGATTGGTTATATTTCACTTACACACCGATTCTTCAATTGTGGAAATTCTATAAACCGCTAAATCGCCCGAGCTCGATATCAATGCTAAATGTTTACGAAGTCATGATAAGTACCATTTTCATTCCGCATGCTACTGCGCGCATTACGCGACAATCTTCAGCGAAAATTGGACAACCTTTGAACATTCATGTGACACATCTTCCAAACATCTTACTGTTAGTTTCTCAGCCACGTGACCTAATATTCTGCAAGTTGTCCAGTTTCACTAAAGCCCACCATCTGATGCGCGCGGCTGCGTGCTGGTAATCGATAACTGTGTTGTCTGTCCTAGCGGCAGTGAGGGAAACGTGCCATGGCAGTTGTGGTCTACGTGATAGTTTGTCAAATTTGTGGAGGCGAATATGTAGGGAAGATGGCTAGTCCTCTTTATGCGCTCATCAATGAGTATTTGGAGGGAAAGGCTAGGTCGCGGCTATCCACTGCGCTGGGTTACCACAGTCTTATAACGAAGATGATTTTGAGGTTATCGTCGAGGTCATGGCGCGCGAAACCCAGACAGCCGCGCGCAAAACCCTGGAGGCATTTTGGATCCGGGTCAGGAATCCAAAAATGAACCGCAGGGAAGAATGTGTGTCAATAACGCGGGAACTAATCTCCCTATATAAGGTTAGCCTTCCAGCCGGAACCCGGAACTCTGATCTGTCTGATAATTACTATACTGCCGTTACTGTGAGCTGATTTCGCTGAGTACTCTATCTACCATTTAATTATGTGATAGCTTAGTAGGTCTCGAAGGTCTCTTAGGGTAGTGAAACATTTGGTCAGGATAGGCCGTGAATTGGTTCCCACCTTTTTAGGCTTCGAGAAGGCGAAATTGCCGAAACATTAGCAAATCATTATCAACCTCGTTTGTTGTTGAGTCAAATACAGGGTGGCTACTAAATATTGGCGCATGGTTTATTGACCATATTTTTAAAAAGAGAAGCTATTACATCTTCAGAAGTTTATTTTTATATACAGTAAACATAACAATTCATTACTAAAGAAGATGCTCGAGAATGGCCTCCTTCGGCGGCGATACAGGCTTCAAGTCTCTTCTCAACTGACATCACCGTGGGCCGCAAGCAGCTTTTCGTCGAGTTACCTTCCACGCCTTCCTCCTAAGGAAGCCTTCAGGGAGTCCAAACTTCGATGTTGCTCAGAAGGCATCTTCTGCTGCAGGAAGCCCCACACCGCAAAATCCATTGGGTTCAATCGGGTGAGTTAGATGGCCAAACATTTTGTGACCAGTAACCTGGAAAATGACGGTCACAGAACTCCAGCGTAGATTTTGCGGCATGTGGAGGCGCCCTTCTTGCTGAAGAATGCAGTGACGTTCGCTGAAGGTCGAAACAGTCCATGGAAGGAGCACATCACGTAAAATTGTTTCCTGGTAGATCTGGGCGTTGAATTTTGACGGATTTGTCCACAAAGACAAGCGGTGTCTTGGTTTCAGAAGTAATTCCTGCCCAAACCATGACAGATTTGGAAATCGGCTCCTTGTGTGCACACAAGTCGAGCAGAATGTCTGCTAGCCGGATCCAACAATGCCTGTCGTTTTGAGAATTGTGCGCCACTTCCAGTGTGAAGATCTTCTCGCGTCACGTTGACGTCACTTACTTGCGGCCCACGGTGATGTCAGTTGAGAAGAGACTTGAAGCCTGTATCGCTGCCGAAGGAGGCCATTTCGAGCACCTTCTTCAGTAATGCATTTTATGTTTTACTGTATATAAAAATAAACTTCTGAAGATGTAATAGCTTCTCTTTTAAAATATGGTCAATAAACCATGCGCCAATATTTAGTAGCCACCCTGTAAATTGGTACTGTAACTATGCCGAGGTTTATCGAGAGTCGAACATGGCGACTAGTTCGCATAGCTGCACAGCCTCCTAACTCATGAAGGAGAGTTGGGATCGTCGACATAATCTCACTCCGTCGCATTTTATCTGTTCTATATAACCTCTCGGCTTGGTTGGACCGAAGCAGCATATAAACGGCTCAATTTCACTGTGGGCTAATTTGTTCTTTCCAGTCACTATACTGTTATAGTTGCTATCTCAAGTATAAAAACGCGGGTGCACGCGCACAACGCGGTGATATTGCTATGTGTAGGAAAAGGACAATCGAATTTCTTGATTTTCGCCTCCACCACGATGTTCATATAGCATCACATGCCTCTGATACGCTTTGCTCGGATCTATTTTCAGTGATCTCCAGTCCCTCTTGAGAGTGAATT